CCACGACCACCTCCGCCTCCGCTGCCGCCTCCACCCCTGCCGCCACTCCCGCCGCTGCTGTCACCACCCCCACTGCCGCCACTAGCCTCTCCAGCCCCTCCTCCACTCCCACCGCCTCCACCCCCACCTCCTCCGCCGCCACCTCCACCCTTGCCCCCTTTGCTCTTGCGGCGCCCGCTCGAAGCAGACGCGGCCCCGACCTTCTCAGCACCAAGGAGGTCGACAGCAGCAGCAGAGGCGACAGAGGGGAGGAGAGGGGAAGGGGAACACCCCTCAAAGAACGGGGTGCGGGGGTCGCCACGAGAGGTGCCTACAGCGACGATGCTCGCCTCAGCTGCAAGCAGTTCCTTCTCGAGGAGGGCAATGGTGAGTTCAGTGGGGGAGCGAGAGAGGAAGTGGTCCCTGACTGTGCGCAGGGAGTCGGGGAGGCGGGTGACTATGTGGTAGAGAGTGATCCAGAGCGGGGGGGGGTTGCTGGTGAGGAACTCGTCAGGCATAGCAGCGCGAAAGCGGGCCTCACTGGTCTTAAGGTGGGTGATGAGGTCAGCAACTGTCTGAAAGGAGGCCAGGTCGGGGAACAGGTAGGGGAGAGTGAGGCGGCCTAGTGTGGCAGAAGCGGGGGAGGAGTAGCGAGCGACTACAGCAGTGTACAGGTCCTTAGCAGTTTTGTGCTGGCCAAAGTGCTCGCGCTCGTCGATCGGTAGGGAGTTACGAATAGCGAAGCGAGCGTGGGCGTCACGAGTCTGCCACTGTGAGCGCTGAGTGCTGTCAGCAGTGGTAGGAGGGGCAGTAGCGTTGCCTAGGGCGTGATCGTACAGTGAAACGTCCTCCTTAGCAGTGAGCTGTAGAAAGAGGTGGAGGTCATCGAGCCAGGTTTCGAACTTCACTGGACGGCCCTCAGCATCGAAAGTAAGTACAGTAGGAGTAGCCATAGCGGCAGTAGCAGTAGCGGTAGAAACAGTAAGAATGAGGCCGCAGGGAAGCTGTGGGCAGTGTCAGCACACGGGCGGCAGCAGCTGATGCGCACGGGCGGGAGCGGCAGTGGGCGCAGAAGCGGCGGCCGCAGTGGGAGCGAGTGCAGCAGCGGCAGCGGTAGCAGGCGCAACAGGAGCGCACGGGCGGTAGCGGCCGCGGCGCACGAGCGGGAGCGGCTGCGGGCGACGCGCAGGCGGTAGCTGCAGCGGCGGGCCCGTGGTAGCGGCAGCTGCAGCGGGCGACGAGCGGGCGGCAGCAGCAGCGGGCGACGAGCGGGCGGCAGCTGCAGCGGGCGACGAGCGGGCAGGCGCTGCAGCGGGCGACGAGCGGGCGGCAGCAGCAGCGAGCGACGAGCGGGCGGCAGCTGCAGCGAGCGACGAGCGGGCGGCAGCAGCAGCGGGCGACGAGCGAGCGGCAGCTGCAGCGGGCGACGAGCGGGCGGCAGCAGCAGCGGGCGACGAGCGGGCGGCAGCTGCAGCGGGCGACGAGCGGGCAGGCGCTGCAGCGGGCGACGAGCGGGCGGCAGCAGCAGCGAGCGACGAGCGGGCGGCAGCTGCAGCGGGCGACGAGCGGGCGGCAGCTGCAGCGGGCGACGAGCGGGCAGGCGCTGCAGCGGGCGGGCGGCAATGTGCAGGCCTGCGGGGCCGCTGCGGGCTGCGCTATAGCGGTGCGAGCGGCGCACGGGCGGCTAGCCGGTCGCGCTCAAAAGAAATCGGCCGCGCGCGGGCAGCTAGCGGGTCGCGCGCGGTTAAAAAAAAAAAAAAAAAAAACGAGCCGCGCGCGATTGGCTGGCGGGCTGCGCGCGCGCGGTAGGTAGGAGGCGCACTGGGGCGCGTAGGCGCACGAGGGCGCACGGTAGGTAGGTAGGTAGGTAGCGGTGGGCCCTAAGAACGGTCCTAGCGAAGGACCTGCTCTGAAACCATGTCGGAATCAACAGACAGGAATGATTGAACTAGCAGTGAAATCAGTACAAGTACCTAACCCTAGAATTGTGTACCCCCTATAGGCTAACCCACTGTAGCCTAAACAAACACAACATATATAATGTTTGACATCCAACGCCCCGACCCCACCGTGCTTCTTTTTATTGAAAAGGATACGTTTAGGGATGTACCGTTGCGTTTTCCCTTCTTCTTTGTATTTGGAGGAAGCCAGATACACTCCCACTACTCGATCAATGACTGTAGTGATGGAGGATGGGGCGGGTTGGAATCGACCGCTGAAAGCGTAGAGAGAGGCCATACGTTCAGTTGCTAATATGCTCCGACAGGTTGTCGTGACATGGATTCGGGAGAGGGCGTCTGCCGAGGTGCGTATTCTGGACAAGATGTGTTCCCACGTGGTCTGCCCGGGATTATCTTGTTCGATGTACACGCCCAGGATTCTTTCGGCCTCGTTTGATTTTCGAATGGGAATGTGACCAGCGTGGGAGATGCTGTTGCTGTCGAAGTTGAAAGGTAAGATAGCGCATTTGTTCCAATTGGGGTGCTCCCCAGAGCATTGGGCAAAAGACTCGAGGCACGCTTTGGCCGTCTGAAGTTCGGTGTTGGAATTGAGAAATATTGAGACATCATCGGCATAGCTGGCCATAAGCCGGCGTTGTGTAGGGGAGATGGCAAAACCGGGCAGGGCTGCAGCGAGGTGTCTCTGTAATACCTCAATGACACAGACAAACAGCAATGGGGCAAGCGGGCAGCCCTGTCTTACCCCGGTACGGACTTGAAAACGTGGTCCGGTTGAGTTATTGACCGACACGTGGGTGTGCGTGTTGAATTGTAACCGCCGTACCCACTGAATGAAGTCCGGAGGGATGTCGAGATGGGAGAGGCACCGAAACAGGAACTCTCTGTCAACCATATCGTAGGCCTTTTTTATGTCTACCGTGAGGACCAGAAGCGGTAGTGTTTGATGGTTGGCCCAATCTATGATATCTAATGTGTCGTTGATAGTATCACCTATTCGACGACCTTATATGAAAGCGGTTTGGGAGTGGTGAATGATGCGGGGTAGCACAGTTTGGAGCCGGTTCGCAAGGGTTATTGCTAGAACTTTGTAGTCAGTGTTCATCAGTGTTATTGGCCGAAGGTTCTCCACCAACGCTGTATTCCCTTTCTTGGGAATGAGGATGGTGCGGCCTTCACTCATGGTGGGGGGGGTGGCGTTATGAGCTTTAACGCTGTCGAAAAGCGTGCGCAAGGCCGGGACCAGCTCTGCTTTATGTGAGCGGAAGAGATCTGCAGATAAGCTATCAATCCATGGCGTTTTGCCTTGGGCCAAAGCCCGAACGGCACGTTCGATCTCAGGTGTGTCAATGGGTGCCGCTAACCCAGCACAAAGCACAGGGGGGAGCTTAGAGGGGTAGATGTGTTGCCAAAAGTCAGCAGTGGGGGTAATAGGGGTACTACCACTGTATAGGTTGCAGAAAAAGGTGGTACAGAGTTGAGTCATAGGAATCAACCGCTCGACCTTTTCCCCAGATGGGAGTTGCAGGAAAGGTATCTGTGAGTCCTTGATTCTCTTGTTGAGGCTGGCCATGAGAGACGCTACCCCCATTTCTCGCGGTCCTTCGATCTTTAGTTTAGCTTTTAATGCAATTTCTGCAGCACGGGAACTAGTATAGGCCTGTAGTCTTTGAAGCTGAGTCTCCAGTTTGGCCGAGGCCCCAACATCCCCAGGGAACTTCAACAGGTGAAGTTGCAATTGGCACGCCTCATCCTGCATGTGAGAGACTGTCTTTTGAACCCTTGTGCGTTCTTCCTTGGTAAATTGTTTGAGCTTCTGAGCAAAGGCTTGCTTACACACGTCCCATTGTGATGGGGTGAGGGGAACGGGTAAGGACGAGACGAAGTATTTGACCAGTGTGTGAACATGAGTTTTATTCACTAGTTGCCTCGGCATTTGCCATGGCCTGCGGGCAGCGTTTGGATTGTGGAAGGAGATAAGGCACAGGGGGCCTCCGAAATGATCGGAGAGAGTGTCATGGACGAAGGTGTATGAGGCCGTGGTAACACGGATGGCAACCGGTGCAGAGATGTAAGTACGGTCTAATCGCGAGGCGGGGGGTGGGGGGGGAGAGGGTGGCTGCGCAGGAGATTGGGGAGGATCTGGGTTGGCCGTCTGGGCGGAATTGGGGACCATGAGAGAACGGGGCCGAGTCTGTCTGCGTCTCGTTGGGGAGATGAAGGAGTAAGCAGGGGTGTTTGGGTGGAGGAGACGAAAGGTGTCAATAAGGTCACTGGTTTCCAAAATTTGACTAACGAGAGTTGCTTCCGTGTTCTCGTACGCGTGCAGGGGGCGGTTCCTATCCAAAGGGACAAGGACGTTATTAAAGTCGCCAGTTAGTAGCGTCCAATCACTTGAGGTTGATTTTTGCAGAATTGGCTCCACTGACTCAATCCATCAGCTTTTCCGCTCAATATAGTATGAGGGTGCATAAATGGCGATGATTCTGAATTGCTCATGTAAATAGTTACAGTGAATGCTAAGAATACGCCCGTCCACAGAAGCAACTTTATCGGAGAGCTTAATCCGATGGTTAAAGACAAGTATTGCGATCCCACCCGGGAAGGATTGCACCGGAGTGACTATTGGCGGAACTTGCGCATACGCTGTGGGCTTAAGTAAATTTGTAAAGTTGGTAGAAAGGCGAGTGTCAGTGAGGACGAGAATGTCCGGAGGAGTTTGTAACCATCCTTTAAGCTCATCCATTTTTGCTATAGAGTTCAACCCGTTAATATTCAAACATTGAATAGAAATTTGTGTATTCATTTAAAACCACTTTTGATCCCCCTGTGGGGCTAGGAAAAGGGAGTGAGGGGCGAGAATAGAGCAAATTGCCAATTATATCTTTGTTACTCCTCACACGCGTACAGGCATGAACGGCCCTGCCTAATAAGAAGATATGCATGAAGTACGTATTAGTGCAGGACGACCTGAAGAACCAGCTAAGACACCCAGAGTGCAGCAGGATCGTGCAATTTTCAGTTCACCAGCGCTGCTCAACGTGGTTCGCGACCACGAGCATGCTACTCTTCGGCGAAAAACTGAACCAGCTTGTCGTTTTTCAGGAACGCCTGAACCTTCATGTCCCCAAACTCTTCCTTGAGGAGGGGGGCGGACATCTGCAGACGCCGGAGGTGCTGAGGCGAGTCGCCATGGGCGAGCGCCGAATCGATGGTCCAGCCACAGGTAAAGTCGCAGGCACAGGAGGTCCAAGCCTCGACTTCGCTGTCGAGACCAATGAAGAGAAGCCCAAGGTCTTGCTTGACTTTGTTGGCTGCCGGCGAGTGCCCAAGCGCTTTGGCTGCCATGAGCAGAAGAAATCAAAGAGAAGCATAGAAGGGGTGAGAGCACCACACCCTCGGTTGTCAAGTCGAGGAGGGGGTAGACAGGGGGGGAGAGATTGGCCTTGTTTGGTTGGGACACCAGCAGCAAGGCAGAAAAGGTAACATGAAGAGCGAAATCTTGTTTAAGACCCACAGCAAACGCGGACCTCATAGAAAAACGAGGGCAACGGAAAAACAGACGTTGAGGCTGAAGGAGATGAGAAACAAAGCGCAAAAAGAGGGGACCCGGAACCGTACCGTTCACGTTCTGTAACTGGGCGACCGAGATCGAGTGGGGATTGTTAATCTTGTTGCGGCGCAGCGTCGGGAAAACGTGGTGGTCCCCGGTGCGGTGATTGCTCGAGCAGATACCACAAGAATGACAGGAGAGATTCACCAGGACTGGCTCGCGCACGTCCGGGATCCAAATAACCGGCGGGGTAACGCTGAACGCCTCGTCACCGATCATGGGTTTGACAATGCCGTGCATCTGCAGTTGGAAAGTTTCCTCATAGGGATCAGACGCCGTGTGAAAGTACAGGAGCTCTGAGATCCACTTCTGTCCCTCTCGGTTTTTGCCGTTCAGCAGGATCCCGACCAGTTTCTCCTCCGTGAGACCCAGCGGAATGTTGCGAATGACGATGTGGGTTTCACCGCGCGCTTTTGCCGCTGTGAAGTCCGGCGCGGGGTCCACGTAGACCTTGAGTTCGACCACGGGTCCATGGGGCGGGGAGAAGAAGATCGGCGGACGGGCAGCGAAGTCCTGTGCCGCTTCCTTGTTGGGAAACTGCAGAATCTGCCTGGCGTAGGAGCGTTTGCCGAACTTCAGGTTCTCACCCGCCATCGACTTGAAAGAAGGAATCTGCCAATTCTTGAAATCAGAGCGACGGAGACTCTTTTTGATAGACGCAACAATATCCTTGCGAACCGGCTCAGCGAGATTCTCCGGAAAGATCACGGCGACAAGAGTGTCCAGATCCCGTGTCACATCAGTCGCGGTCTCACCGACCGTGTCACGCAGCGCACAGAGACGACGGAAGCGCTTGCCAGGCGCACCCAAAGAAGGAGCGGAAGAGACTTCCACGTTCACAGCAGGCGCCGGAGCGGGAGCCACAACCGGGAGTTTAGAGGAAGATGAGGAGGCGGCTTTGCACACCTTCTTGGCGACAGGGGACCCGTCACCCAGCAGGTCACTGAACGAAGGGGTGATCCCAGCGTTGTCTGCCATAACCGCATCAAAGGCAGACGAGTGCTCCATGGTAAGCTTGGGAGGAAAGCGAACCGGGTAGGAGGTGCGAGAGGTTCTTGCTTGCGGTCGAACTAAATATACCGCACTAGCACAACGGGCATGACGCAGATCTCTGTGTCCAGATTGATCGAGTGAGGCAGACGGGGGAAACGCTCGAGCCGCATGCTGGCCTTGGTGAAAACCAAGTCGCAACAGAAGATGATGGACCAACTCACGAATGATTGTGTGAGTGGCATCTGGTGCCTTAGCACCGGAAAATTCAGCTGGCGTGAGAGAGAGCCAGTCTGACGAGGAGGAAAACCATGCAGGCTCAGAGAGGCCAGACGAACACGTATTTCCTGAGCCAAAACCAGACGGAAAGGTGAGGGTGAGGTGTCCGTCCGTGGGGCAGGACCTGCATGCTGTTAGCACCCAACACGCGTCAAGCGAGGAAGACCAGCAATCCGAGAATATTCGAACCGAGGAAGCAGCAAGAGCAAGAGCACGTTGCGGAACGTGTGACTGTGCAGGTACCGATTGCTGATGTTGCTCATAAAACGACATGAAGGAGAAGAACTTCTCCATCATGCTCTGGTCGAAGCTGGCAGGTTGACTCGCGGGAGTCTCGGTAGACGTTGCCCTTGGTCTGACTGTCGTGCCCTCCTCTGTCTGTAGGCCAGAGGCAGGAGGTGGAGTATGCGGAGAGTCACCCTACAACGGGTGTGAACTACGAAGGAGGGCACGGAGTTGTGTGGGTGATCGTAGCGCTCTAGCAGCGTTCTAACAGAGATCTTACTACTTGCTCTGTTCACAGAGAGATTTGGCAAGAGTTTCCACTAAGGAAATTGAAAGTACATTGAAAATTGAGAATTAGAGTACAAGAATGAGCATGCAAAGTGATATCTCTGGAATGGCATTGCAACCCCTAGCAACCATTCTGCAAGGCGAATTGCCAGCACTGCATCAGAGCGGTTCGCCAACGCTGAAACAGAGCGGTCTGCCAGCGTAGCAGAAGGGCGACATGCCAGCGCTGCAGCAGGGCGGCCTGCCAGCGCTGCATTCGCAGGTGAATATCTGCGCAGGTGTGCACCTGCCGAGTAGGTGCAGGTAGACGGTTACACCGTCAGAGACATTGCGCAGGTGCCAGGTAGAAAACGCTCTGACGGTTTCTCCAGATGCCCACCGTCGAGCACGTGATGCCATTTCGGAGGTCGAATTTCGCTAAGGACCACCTGAGCGAATTTCGCATGCCCTCGCAGAGTTTCGCAGTCGCGCGAATTTGGTCGACCAGTTCGCCAAGCTGACGCTCGCCGAACAGCGCCCTTCGATCAGAGAACGCAGCTCCTCGGACAGCACCCCGTCCGTCAGAGATCGCGCGACCCAGAAGCAAATCAGAAGACGAGCTCGTCGAACAGCACCCCGTCGACCAGAGCTCGTTGACGGGCTGGTGAATCAGAGGACAACCTTCCTCGAAAACCACCCGCGGTTTCAGAGGACGGGCTGCTCCAATGCGACGATCACTTCGTCGAATTCACCACGTCGTCGCAGAGAATGCCTACGCCCAAGCGAGGGCGGGGCCTTTCACTCCGACACTCCCCTGCCCAGCTCACGCTTGGGCCCCCACACACAAGGTCCACCCAGAACCTAAGTAATAGAATACAAGGGGACGTTTCTCTGGCGTGCATACTCCCGCACGCCGATCACCGCACCAGCCATGTTAGAGGACATGGCACCTACTGCTGCACGTCGTCGTCGTCGCCGACTTCGGCAAGGCGAACCTGGCCGACCGCGACAGAGCACCGGTTGAAGGCCGGAAAGTGCAGCCCTTTCGTGAGGAAGTCCGCCGGCTGCTCGGATGTCGGGATGTATTCCAGCGCAATCTTCTTGCGCTTCACCATCTGCTGCAGCCAAGCGTAGCGCCGCTCCATGTGCTTGAGGTTGCCCTTGAGCCCCAAGCCTTCAGCGACAGCGATGGCGGACTGATTGTCCACGTTCAGAGTAGTCGGTGTTCCAGCATCGAGGAGCTGGAACTCGGCGAGGAGGAATCGAAGTCGACGGGCCTCCTTGCCTGCTTCGGTGGCCGCGATGTACTCCGACTCTGTAGAGGACAGAGTCACGCACTTGATGCGTTGGCTCGTCCAGGAGACAGCTGCGCCGCCGAAGATGAAAACGTAGCCACTTGTGCTAGTGCGATTCTGCTTGTCGCCAGCGTCGTCCGCGTCCGCGTAGCCGACCAGTTTCAGAGTTTCGGGTCCTCCTCCGAACTCCAGAGCGAAATCGCGCGTGTCAGAGAGGTAGTTGAGGCAGCGATCGACCTCGCGCCAGTGCTGATCGCTCCTCACTGTCAGACCAGACCCCAGCTTGCTACACGCAAAAGCAATGTCGGGCCGAGTTGTCGTGGCAGCGAACTGCAGAGTGTCAGATTATGTTATGTGTCTAGCCTGCAGTGGGGTGCTCAATAGTGAGTACAACCCCTTAGGGTTTCCTATATGTATCCTGCTGCTTGCTAGTTCAACAAATCATTCCCATTCTCACTTCTCCAATTCTCCTTCGTATACCACAAACCCTAGTCCTAGGGCACAACCTCCTAACTCTTAGTGTGGGCCTAGGCTACTCAGCCTAGGCCCCACTCCTATTGTTTCTAACATGGTATCAGAGCGAGCACGTTCCTGCCGCTTACCTCTATGGGCCCACCACCTGCTTCCGCTGCCGTAGTGTCCGCCGCGCGCCCCGTGGTGCGCGGCGGCGAAACCCTAATTTTTCATCCCGCCGCGCCCTCGAAGCGTGCGGCGGTTTTCTGCCCGCCGTGCGCCCCGAGGCGCGCGGCGGTTTTCTGCCCGCCGTGCGCCCCGAGGCGCGCGGCGGCTTTCTGCCCCGTCGCCCCCGCGTCGCCCCGCGTCGTTCCCGTCGCCCGCGGACCCCCGTTCCCGTCGCCCGCGGCCCCCCCGTTCCCGTCGCCCGCGGCCCCCCGTTCCCGTCGCCCGCGGCCCCCCGTTCCCGTCGCCCGCGGCCCCCCGTTCCCGTCGCCCGCGGCCCCCCGTTCCCGTCGCCCGCGGCCCCCCGTTCCCGTCGCCCGCGGCCCCCCGTTCCCGTCGCCCGCGGCCCCCCGTTCCCGTCGCCCGCGGCCCCCGTTTCGTCGCCCCGCGCCCCCCCTTTCGTCGCCCCGCGCGGACGCCAGCGCCACGGCCAGCCGCGAGCGCCAGCGCGGCCCGTACGGACTGCGCCAGGCCAGGGCGCGCCTCGAGCCGCTCGCCACTGCAGCAGCCGCCCCTGGAGCCGCCCGCCACTGCAGCAGCCGCCCCTGGAGTCGCCCGCCACAGCAGCAGCCGCCCCTGGAGCCGCTCGCCACTGCAGCAGCCGCCCCTGGAGTCGCCCGCCACAGCAGCAGCCGCCCCTGGAGCCGCCCGCCACTGCAGCAGCCGCCCCTGGAGCCGCCCGCCACTGCAGCAGCCGCCCCTGGAGTCGCCCGCCACTGCAGCAGCCGCCCCTGGAGTCGCCCGCCACAGCAGCAGCCGCCACTGGAGCCGCCCGCCACTGCAGCAGCCGCCCCTGAATCGCCCGCCACAGCAGCAGCCGCCCCTGGAGCCGCCCGCCACTGCAGCAGCCTCCCCTGGAGTCGCCCGCCTCTGCAGCAGCCGCCTCTGGAGCAGCCGCCACTGGAGCCGCCGCCCCTGGTGCAGCCGCCCCTGGGCCCGCGACGCCGCCCCTGGAGCAACCGCACCAGCAGCAGCCGACCATGCAGCTGCCCGCGACGCCGCTCCTGGACCCTGTGCAGTCGCGCTCAGTCTCACCCGCGCCCTACCCTACCTGCTCCGCGCTGTTGCTCTGCACGCGCGGTTGCCCGCGCCCTCGTGCGCTCTACCCTACCTGCTCCGCGCTGTTGCTCTGCACGCGCGGTTGCCCGCGCCCTCGTGCGCTCTACCCTACCTGCTCCGCGCTGTTGCTCTGCACGCGCGGTTGCCCGCGCCCTCGTGCGCTCTACCCTACCTGCTCCGCGCTGTTGCTCTGCACGCGCGGTTGCCCGCGCCCTCGTGCGCTCTACCCTACCTGCTCCGCGCTGTTGCTCTGCACGCGCGGTTGCCCGCGCCCTCGTGCGCTCTACCCTACCTGCTCCGCGCTGTTGCTCTGCACGCGCGGTTGCCCGCGCCCTCGTGCGCTCTACCCTACCTGCTCCGCGCTGTTGCTCTGCACGCGCGGTTGCCCGCGCCCTCGTGCGCTCTACCCTACCTGCTCCGCGCTGTTGCTCTGCACGCGCGGTTGCCCGCGCCCTCGTGCGCTCTACCCTACCTGCTCCGCGCTGTTGCTCTGCACGCGCGGTTGCCTGCGCCCTCGTGCGCTCTCCCGCCCCGGCCCTCCCCCCCCCCCCCCCCCCCCCCCCCCCTGCGTCCCCTGGACAGGAGGGTGTGGGGGTGGCGGGTGTGGGGGTGCTCCTTGTGCGTCGCCCCTTCCTTCTCCTCCGTCTCCCACTGCTGCAGCTGCCGCTGCGGGGGGGTGGATGTGTGGGAGACGAGCAAGTGGCGCTAGGGGGGTGATGTGGGCGAGGAGCGAGTGGTGACCCTGGGGGTGTGTGTAGGGGGGAGTGAGACAGTTGGAGGAGGTTGCAGCCTGGTGCTCCTGGTGCCCGTGTGTCTGCAACTTCAGTCGTCGCCTCCTCTCTTCTCTCCCTCCACAGTTCCTCCTCCTCCTCACTGGCCTCCTGTGACTGCCACTAGCTTTGCTGATAATTGTGAACTATTGCTGTGACTTCTCACGTGTGCTGATTACACCCCACTTTGGCTATGGGGGTGTGTCAGATTATGTTATTTGTCTAGCCTGCAGTGGGGTGCTCAATAGTGAGTACAACCCCTTAGGGTTTCCTATATGTATCCTGCTGCTTGCTAGTTCAACAAATCATTCCCATTCTCACTTCTCCAATTCTCCTTCGTATACCACAAACCCTAGTCCTAGGGCACAACCTCCTAACTCTTAGTGTGGGCCTAGGCTACTCAGCCTAGGCCCCACTCCTATTGTTTCTAACACAGAGAACCGAC